TAGCAAAAAAAGTTTCATTTCATAGGTCGATTACATGAATGATAGGTCATTGGGTCAATAAAAAATTAAATCAAATTTTTAGAGATATTTATCATGAAAGTTTCTAAGATAAATTTCTATAAATTTTTCCTTCACCTTCCTTTATACCTTTTTATAGAGATAAATGATGTAATTCACTCTTGCATTTATTGAGTTTTATTTTATTTTTATATGTCTATATCACATTAAGTGATTGTATTTTTTTATGTAAGTGTTTTGCTTTAATATCATTTTATATGTTTATATTTTATCTTGTTCTCTCTTGCGTAGTCTCACATTTATCTTGATATTCTTATTTTAATTGATTTAAGTATTTTTATTCAAGTCTCTTTAAGCTTAAATAATTTTTTTTAACAAACTGCCTCGTCAATAAAAATACTTAGTATTCTCACTTAACCTCTACAAACTAACCACCCTCTGTATACAAGAAAGAAAAATAAAAAATACAAAGAAATAATAGTTTTGAATGATAGTATAATATTTCTTTTTGTTGCTTCTCTTCTTTTTTACTTTATGCATGGAAGTATCTCTAATTAATAAAGTATGTTTAGCTTTACATTGACACTACCAAATGTCTGTTGGACTTAACAGATTTACGATGTATGCATGTTTTTTTGTCTTTTGCTTTTGATCATATTTGTAAAATGTGCAAGAATAGGTAAAGAATTATATGTTACTAAACTTGTTAAGATTAGTGTTTTTGTGATTTTCAAAACTTCAAATTTAGCACTTTTAACTTTGTGCTTGAATAGTCTTTTTTTTTAGTCAATCTATTACATGCATCTTTTTGTGTATGAACGGAATGTTTATTTGAATAATTTATCTTAATAGACATTATAATATGGTTTGATGTTCTATTATAATTTCATTTTTCAGATATATGATTGTTTGATTAGATGAATTATATTTACATTATTTTACTGACACTATTGAAACATTTAAATAAATTTGTTAGATATATCTTGCAATTTATTTATCATAAGAGTTTTTTATTCATCAAAACTTAGATATTTTATGTCTTGAAAATTTTGCTCTAATATTATATATTAAATAAAAACATTTATTAATATAATATCTTTTGAATAGTTTTTTACTTTGATATAAATTTTTTCTTATAAATCCAAATAAAAATATTAAAATGAAATTTATTTATTTAATTTTTTTATAATTGATAATAAAATGACAATTTTAATCAGTTAACAAATATTAGATACTTCAACTTAATAAAAAAGTTATTCATTTTGATAATAATAAATATTATAAAACTTTTAAGTCTATAAGCAGCAGAGAAGAAAATAAACATTATTTACTTTTAAAACACTTATTTTTTCACATAATACTTCAATTATTTAAAATATTATTAGATTTGTTAATTTTAAATTGAAATAAGTATAAACATTGAACACGTGTTATGAATCAAATAAAAATTATATATATATATATGCTAGTGTAAGTCTAAAAACTTTTATATTTAATCTAAATATTTCATTTAACTTAAATCTAACGGCCAGTGAAGTAATAAATTATAACCTGTTAGATATAAATTAAATGAAAGGTTTAAATTGAGTGTAAGAGTTTTTAGACTTATACCGGTATAAAAAGATCTTGCTTTTATATATATATATATACCTTCAAATGTTAAAATTAAAAAAAATAGTTTTTGTCTATATGTAACACCCTCTTCTTATTTTTTAGTAATTATGTGTTATTTAATATTAAGTAGTATTAGAATGTAATTAGATGTAAGTTTGGAGGAGTTTTGGTGCAGGAAATCTCGCTCAGGCGAGATTGAGCGTGCATAAATATCTTGCTGCAGAGCTATCTCGTTCAGGCGAGATGATTCTCGTTCAAGCGAGATAAGATAAATGTCGCCCAACTGTCACCTCGCCCATGCGAGAGTAATCTCGCTTAGGTGAGATGAGGATATCGCTCAGGCGAGATAGGTCGCCTATGCGAGGACTCACAAGAACAATATCATGCTCTCTAGACACCATCTCGCTCAAGTGAAATGAAGCTTGCTCAAGCGAGCATATCATAAAATAGTGAGCGAGACCATTGTCTGCATATCTCGCTCAGGCAAGATGCTCATCGCTCAAGCGAGATATCGTCGCTCAAGCGAGCTGTACCTTGCTCAAGCGAGAACGCGTGTGACTAAGGGTATTTAAGAGATTTTTCGCATAAGAAATTCATTCTATTTCAAACTCATGTATTTCTCTTAAGCTTTCTCTGATCTCTCTCTCCCTTTCTGATGAGTCTATAACTCATCTAGGAAATTAGAGATTTTTGGCATATTTCATTGGATTTAAATCATAAGTTAATGCAATTAATTGGAAAATTCAATGGAATGTTGCAAGTACTGGAAAATTTGTATAGATTATTCATATTCTGATGTTGGCAATTGAATTTTTGAAGGAAATTATAGAAAAAGTGGCAATTGGGCTAAAGGACGAAAGTTAAGTGCTGCAGGACACACTTTGTGGGGACATGAACTTTTATTTGTGGGGACACGATGCTGACTGATGCATATAAAAGCGAAAAAACTCTGAAAAAGTGACATCTTTTATCTCTCCTTTTTTAGAACATTCTGGAGCACGATTTTCTAGGTTTTTTTTTTTTTTTTTATAGTTTTACGTAGGATATATGAGCGAGGGTATTTTCTTTACATCTTTGTTAGAAGGATTCTTATGGGAACTTGGATTTTCCTTTCCATCTTCTCTGATTTTTGTAATAGAACAATAACTCTTTCATTTTTCATTTGCTGTAAGTTTATCTGCTGAACATGACTCTTATCTTTTCAATATATTTTAGTTTGTTTCTTTTCATTTCCATTATGTTTTGTTAAATCTCTTGGGGTTGAGTAAAGATGAATTTATACCTTTACTCGTTACAATGAACTAAGCATTGTATGTGACTCAAGATAGAAACTCTAATCTAACTTTTTAATTCTGTACTTAATGCTTCACTGTTCTACGTGAATGGGGTTGATGAAAAGAAGTTCATTGCTGGAAAGTTGTAGACTTTCTTGGACTGGGGTTAAAATGCTTATTATGAATTGTTTAGGAATAGAAATTACGATAATGTGGTCATATGAGTTTTATCCTTAATGCTGAATGTTTTTGGTTTACTAAGGGATTAGGAAATTAAAAGTCGTTTTAGAACCAATTACTAAGGAATTGGAGTTGGATAATTTAGACAACCTGACCATTGGATTAGTTATATTTTGAGTTACAAGTATACTTTAAGCAAGGGGAAAGGGATAAGGGATTCTAGACTCAACCCATTTATTAATCTTTGCAAAAACTCATTTTCTCTACTTGAGTTATTTACATTCTGCAGTCCTGTTAATTATTTTCTGGATTAAGTTTTACTTTTGTCCATTTATTAATTGTAATTCCAGCACCTTTACTTTCAATTTTACAATTCTACAGTGTTTAATTTTGTACTACTATATATATCCTGTTTTTGGTGACCTAACTAGTAATATTCTTGTAGTTTGATACTTAATACTTATCCCTGTGGACGATAATCTTTGTAACTTCAACGATTTGGTGCACTTGCCAAAAAGTTTAATCACTTTCACTCAGATAAAAGCCTCAGAAACTCTGATTTTTCTTCATAATCACTTTTGAACATTGAATTTAAGTAATCCTAAGTAAGTTTCTTCAGATTAAACTTGAGTTTTTGATCATTTTCTTGTTTTTGTTCCTTATGTATATCTCTTGATACTCAGGAGAACTTCTATCCGTGAACTTTGATCCTTTTCCATATATCTTTGTGAGCTCATCTGTGAGGTAAAGAGAGCTCTATTTTATTGTTATAGTATAATATATATATATATATATATATATATATATATATATACTTATAGAGCAATATGTGAATATGATATGAGAATAGATGATTGAGATACCTATTGTGTGGAGTATGAATGAAAATATATTTGTTTGATTGTTTAGACTGATTGCTTGTTTGGGCCGAATAGTTAATATATGTTTACTTGCATTGTATGATGAGTACATGATATGGAACCTGCTGTGTACTTTTGTATGCTGTTATGAAATATGTCTAAGTAAAATGATATGAGGAAATGATGTGAATATGAAGGTTTATGGTTAAAATTGTATTAATAAATGTATATGTGAAATGGATTGGAATAAAATTAGTCTGGAGATGCTTTACTAAGCACAATCTGATGAGTGAGAAAGGATAACTCTGAGAATGACTCTAAGTGTCGAATATGGATTGAATCTAGTATGGATAGTTACAGAGATACACTGGGGTATATAGTCTGGAGACGATGAGAATATGGAGGAAACGTAGGGTGGTGAGCGACATTCGCGTATGTGTACACACTCTTTCTAAGAGCAAATGCGTCACATGGCCTCACACTCGTTTCCTGATTAAACTCCTGACTATGCCTTTGCTAAGGGGCCTGATTATTGTAGATGTAGTATCCATGTGCATGGACTAATCAGCGACTATATATATAGTTGAGTAAGACCTCAAGAAGTACTGGAGGCATGAGTATCTGTGATCACATTGCACTGGGAGTGCGTGTTGGAATAAGAGAAAGGAAAAATGGATGATAAAATGTTGATTGTTATGTGTGATTTAAATGTGTTTGTGAATATGAATTCATGAAATTGAATGTGTTGTATTGATGTATGAATTATGACTTTTATGCTGAATATTTATAAAGAGATAGAATAGACGCTCATCCTTACTAAAACTTTCAAGAACCCAGGATGATGGAGCCTCAGAGAAGAGTTAGACTAGTAGATAGTTCTGTATACTTTAGGTTAAATTATGTATTTAATGAGTATTAGAGAGTAAATTATTTTAAATTTACTGTACTTGTAGAAGATGAACCTAGAGTTTTTGTTATGATATAAATATATTACTCTTGTAGTATCTCTTTTGACTTTCCTAGGAGTAAGATACACTAGACTCTCTATGTGTATATGTATAGAGGTACTGTTAGGAGTCCAGCAGCTCTTACATACCTATTCACCTACCACGGCCATGACTCTCTTGGAAGACCGTCTAGATGGACTTTTGAGCACGTCACTGGCACAAAGGTTAGAGCTGATTCAGGCAATCTTTACCTGGGATCAGACGAGGATCTGGATTCAGACGAGGATCTGGATTCAGAAGACTTAGTGAGATAGAGAGCTGACACATAATGGATGAATAGGATTGATCTTCAGGAGTTGGTTTTGAGGGAGACTACTCTAGTACTTGTATATTTTTATGGATTGTAAATATTATAGTTATGTATATATTATTGTAAATCTCATTCATTTTGACAAACATTTTGTAATAGTTAAAGTTGAAATATGTACTGTATCTACAGATTTCTTATGAATACTTCTACATTATAGTTATGACATTTCTTTACTCTTTTCAATTTTCATTAATGTGTTACATCAATATTGCAAATTATTAATATTTTTAGTAAGATGCTATAAAAATTCATAGAATTAAGGAAAAAGATATATCATTTTAATTGATTAGAATATAATTTATCCATTGTACGGATTTTTAAGATAAAGATGTTACACTATACATTTAAAGGAGTACTCAACTACTTGTGAGAGTTTGATTAGTGGCACAAGTGCAAGTTCATATTAAGATTTTTGCATAAATTAAACTTTTGGCAGCTTATTCTAGTTAAATATTGGGCAATCCTCTTTGGATTACAGCTAATTAATATAAAAAGTTTTAAAAATATTTACATTAAAGTTGATTCTACTGAGGTTGCTCATGCTATATATTAATTGATCAAGATAGCTCTAACTAGTTTTTTTCCATTTACTTTTACTTTTTTGAGGGAATTGTTACATATTGTAATAATTTAAGTTTAGTCCATATTTTTAGGAGAAGCAAACAAAAGTACTAAATATTGTTGGGCTCAAATGGCTCATGATGTACTTAATAGTTGTATTTTAAATTTGATTCCTTCATTCTTTATTCCTTTTTTAAGGTTGAAATTTCTTGAAATTAACTTCTTTAGACCCGTTTAAACTTTTTTTTCAGACTTTTAGCCTCATTGAATTTTAAAAAGAAATAGTATTATTGTAATTTTTAAACTAATAAAATGATCATTTTGATATAGTTTAAAGAATATTTTTAATATTAAATTTTATAATATCCAAAGTAATATTAATTGAATTTTTATAAAATTTTATTCAGTAAAATATAATATTATTAATAATTTTTTATTTAATATATCATTAATAAATTATAAAAATCAAAATTCAAAAATTTTATAAACTCATATTGTAACACCTTAAATTTTAATTTCAATTAAATAATGATTTCGCAAATCGGATAACCAAATTTTTATAAAAGATTTCAAAATAAGTGAAAGGTTACAACTTAATATCAAATAACTGCTACAAGACTAGTTCAATTACAATGTTTTCAAAATAAATTCTAAGTCTTATAGCAGTCCATCCGTCCCTTCACTGAGTTCGGTGCTGATCGTCTTGGTTACCTGAAAAATGAATGAAAGGGTGGGTATTCTACACTACCCCAAACACACGATAAATGTAGAGTCTCACCTCCAGAACATTCCAATACATTAAACAAACACAATCACAGGCAACATTTTACATTCATAAGTACAAAATACAAATCCATGCATATGCACACCAGCCACACTCACTATAGCACTGTGATCACAGATTTACACCATGAATGGTCGTCGGTTACCTCCGTCTCACGGATACCACGTGGGTAGTAACGAATCACTCAGCAAAGGTAATGGTCAGAGGTCTAGTCACGGATAACACGTTTCGCAGTCAGTGTCATCACCATTCCCTCTTCCCCAAGGTATTTCTACTGTCCTCATCTCCCACACCCCCAGTGTATCGCTGAACCATTCACAGCACATTACAACGGCGCTAACACGCCCATTCACACATATTCTATTCACTCATGCAATAATCATGCTTATACACGGTACACAGCCCACATTGCATTCAAATACACGGCACTAGGCCCACATTCATTTTACATTACACGGCACACAACCAACATTCATCTATATTACATGGCCCTCGGGCCCATATTTGTTCACACATCGCAATACATAGCAAAATTTCATCAACCACATATTCTCTCATCCATACACATAATATTCATATATCACGACACATGGCCCACATCATATTTCACAGTAATTTCCTATCCTCTAGTCAGCCACATCACAATATTCAACTAAATAATGGTAAATCGCATACAAAGAGTAGGGTAGAGTCCCCTCTTACCTCGGATTGACGTCCCACACGCTAAATCTACTAAGAAGTACTCCCCTCACGGATTTCATCCTAAACACATGGAGAAACTCCATGAGAACCCAGGGAAACCACAGAAATAGAGAAAGAGGATGTAAAACTGAAACCCTAACCATTAAAACTCACCTTCAAGCGTTTTTCACATGGATTCAACCTTCAATCAAGTTCTCAAACGGCTTTGGAGGCAATTTAATCTGTGAAAAGAACTTTGGGCATGAGAGGATCGAAGGGAGAGGGAAAAATAACTCTTCCCGAACCCTAACCCCCTTTAAATCCTTTTCTGGTTGCGACACTCTCACTACAGCGAGATACTCATTGTAGCGACACACCCTCTCGCTACAGCAAAAAAATCAGAGAAAACTGCACTTCGGTTTCTGCAGAATCTCGCTACAGCGAGACCGCACCCAGAAATGCACCACAAACTGTCGCTTTCTCGCTACAGCGAAAATGTGACAGTTTTAGTCCTTCCTCCCAGGGTCCTCTCGCTACAGCGAAAACAGCCCAGTATCTCGCCCTATACTTAGGCACTTTGCCCATTTCAACCCAACCAGTCATGTATACACACGCGCACACACACACACACACACATATATATATATATATACACATACATACATATTCATAATATATATCTAAAAAAATACACATATGAATATACAATTATATTTATATAATTATCAATAATTAATATTACATTAATAAAAACATGTCAATTTTTTCATTTGTTGAATAAAAAAAACACAAACAACCATCTCATAATTTAATCTTTCGAGTAATACATCAGATTAATCTCTAAATTATACGAAATAGTCAATTCAATTTTTAAAATTATGAAACAAATAGTGCTTAAATTAGCAATAATCAGTCAACTTGGTTGTTAAAATTACATCACCCGTCTCTCATTTTGATAGCTACATTTGATTAATTTAGTCTTTGTAATTAGGGATCAAATTGACAATCAAACTGACTGATATACATCAAAGTAAAAATTAAAGGAACTAAGAGTTATTACAGTTGAATGTTTAATTCACATATCCAATGGCAAGAGCCAAAAAGATCAATAATAACCAATTCTATAACTAATTTTTTTTATTAAATATTAAAATTAATCAATACTTATAATTTTAGAAAAAAAATTTTCATAACTAAATTTATCGGTACTTATAAAATTTGGAACCAGTATTACTAAAATCATTTCATATTCATAAATAAACCAAAAGAGTCGACGGTCTATTTGCTAAAATGTACGTAAAAAAAAAAAAGGTAACGTGAAAATAGATGGACAGGCACATATAAACTGTAATATCTGATAATAGCCCAAAATTATATTCATAACAATGGCAAAAAGAGAATGAATGGTTAAGATAATCTAATAATAGAAGAGATGACAGCAAAATCGATTAAAAATTTGTCAACTGTTACGGCACATATGCTTAAACAAAAATAGCAAATCAGTTAGGAATTTGCACGTAGTAGAAGGCAAGAAGACATAGCAACATAACCCAGACATTGTTGTATTAATTAAATTTTTGGGTGTTTCCACTGATATCCTCCGTTTCTATTCATTCCCGTTATCAATTGAAATGCTGGCGACAAAGGTCTCAATATTTTGTTTAACAAGAAGAGTGATGGAGAAAACAAAAGGTGGAAGAAAATCCAATTGATACTACTACAACTACAAGGGTTTAAGACACAAATTACGTATCAAGAAAGGTCATGGATATCGGTGATGGAATTCATTTCGAAAACTACCAAAATGTTGTGGATAATCCCAATTCCGTTTGGAAAAGTGAAAACATTCTAGGATTTTACCTTCCCCAATTTACCGTTCTACTGTTTTTCATTGTCTGTGCCACCCGTGTCATACACTTCATCCTCAGACCTTTGAATCAACCTCGTTTCGTTGCTGAATATTTTGTAAGTGCACGCATTTCTTTCTTTTCATTCTAAACAATTTTTTTGTCCATTTTAGACATAAGGTATGTATATATACACAGCTTAGTCATATACTTCTTCAATAATTTTTTTTTATATGATAGTTTATGTTATAAATTTAACTCTGAAACTTATTAGAATAAGATCCAAACAGCTTATTTTGATAAATTATACTAAAAATTTATTAAAATTATGAACTATTTTCATAATAAGTTTTTTCGAATGACCTGTTGTCAAGTCGTATGAAATTGTTTTGAAATGGAAATCACTTGCCACATATATATGATTTTTGTCAAGACTAGACTAGACTTTTACATACAAACAATGGACCTAAATTGTCTTTTATTGTTGTAAGCTGCGGCGAAGAAAGAAAAGACACATGATCTAAGCAAGACTCATATAAACCTAATGTTTTTCTGTCTCTTCGCTGCAGCATGCAACCTTTGGAGAAAGATTAGGGTGTAAAATTCTTTAATTTTGTTTAGGTTATGTGCATTTACATTTTGTATCCATGTATTCATTCACATTCAAATGATGAATCAAAGAGGGCTTGTTAATTATGTAGTACTAAAATTGCATAAAATCGTATGAAGGGACCTTTACCATACAGTCGTCAATTTTTTCTCTGGGTATTCTAAATGTTTGCTTTTGGTAATGTAGGCGGGTTTACTACTATGTCCACAAATATTTGGGGGAACTATATTTTATGATATTGTGCTACCTATAAAAGGGCTCCTTGGTATTGAAACTATGGCACATGTGGGTCTTGTCTACAATATCTTTCTGACTGGCTTGGAGATGAACTTAGGCGCTGTCCTACTAGCAAGAAAAAAGGCCACAAGCGTTGCTATTTTGGGCACAATCATTCCAATGGGATTGGGTGCTGCGATATATGCTGTGGCTCAAACTCTCACAAAACCATCAGATAAACATAAAGATTTGTCACGTTATAACACACCTAGTGCATATTTATTCTACTCTTTAGCTCTTAGTGTCACAAACTTTCCTGTCCTTGCTGAAATTCTTTCTGATCTCAAGATCCTCTACACAGGGCTCGGTAGAGTGACCTTAACAGCAGCCACAATTAATGACTTTTATAATTGGGCAATGTTTGTGTTGTTGATTCCATTTGCCACTCACAGTCAAAGACCCTTTGTCTCGGTGTTGCTGACAATGATTTTTGTCCTTTTTTGCCATTTTGTGTTACGCCCTTTACTTGGGCGTTTGTTAATTAAGAGTGAGGAAAAGAATGAGTGGGACAATTACCAGTTGTCCTGTGTGATCGTAGGCGTTTTTCTGTGTGCACATATTACTGAATTGTTTGGTACACACTCCATTGTTGGTGCCTTGACGTATGGTTTGATTCTGCCACGTGGGAAATTCGCGGACACGTTGATAGAAAAATCAGATGATGTTGTGTCTGTGTATCTGGCTCCGTTGTTCTTTGTAAGCTGCGCTATAAGATTCAACTTAAATACTTTGAGACCGGAAAATTTGCTTATGGTGGTCATAATCGTGCTCTTGTTATCAATCACAAAGATTTTAAGCACTGTAATAGCTACAAGCTTCTTTGGTATGCCTTTTAGAGATGGTATAGCCCTTGGAGCGCTTATGAATACCAAAGGCGTTTTGCCACTTATAATGCTTAACATTGCAAGTGACAGACAGGTATTGTTATATTATTTGTCATCTTTTTTTCTAGCTGCATCAATTTTTCTTGGAATAAACTTAGATGAAGTATTTAAGTGTTGTTAGTGTTGTTATTAAATCAAAATGAACTCGAAAATAATACTGGATGAAACTTAGATGAAGTATTTAAGTGTTGTTGGTGTTGTTATTAAATCAAAATGAACTCGAAAATAATACTGGATGAAACACCAACATTAATTAAAAAATAACACAAAAAATGTTAAAGGTACTGCATCCAAGTTGTCTTTTTTTTTTTTTTCTTTTCATTTCTCAAACTATGGTAACTCAATCTATAACCAATACAAGTTAGCAAATAACCTTCGTGTCTAATTTTGTTTTCAGATTTTGAGTGAGGAGTCCTATACAGTTATGGCGTTGGCTATGGTTTTCATGACTATAGTTGTGTCTCCTATAGTCAACTACATATACAAGCCAAGAAAGCAGTTTGAGAAAGATAAGCTAAGGACAATACAACACTTGAATTCTGATGCTGAGATCCGAGTTTTGGTTTGTGTGCACAACACTCGGCAAACCACAGGAATGATAAGCATTCTTGAAGCTTCTAGTGCCACTAATGTTTCCACTTTACATGTGCTTTCTCTTCAACTGATTGAGCTTAAAGGACGTGGCACTGCATTTATTACTTCACAATTTGACCAGAACAATTGCCACCACTGTTGTGGACCAAAGTCCTTCTCAGAAACAGAAGCAGAAACGGAAAGCATCAGCAAAATGTATGCAGAATTTGCATCAGAGCATGGTAACACTAGCGTGGAGTCTCTCACTGCTGTGTCCTCCTATGAAACCATTCACAAAGACATTTTCAACATAGCAGATGAGAAACAAGCATCATTGATTCTCCTTCCCTTTCACAAACAGTCAGGCTCGGAGGGTGCTCTTGAGTTAACCAACACTGCATTCAAAGACGTTAACCAAAATGTCATGCAAAGTGCACCTTGTTCTGTGGGAATATTTGTTGATCGTGGACTACGGTCATTGTCCAAAACCACTTTGCGTGTTGCTATGTTATTCATTGGTGGGTCTGATGATCGTGAAGCATTGGCTATTGCTTGGAGAATGGCAAAGCATCCAGGGATCCATCTCTCTATGGTAAGGATTCTTTTGTGTGGAAACGCTGCTGAAGTAGACACATCAATCCACGATGAAGGTCAAGGGTTGTTATCTACAATACTTGATAGTGGTAAGGAGAAAGAGTTGGATGAGGAGTATGTGAGTTTGTTTAGAATCACGGCAGTTAATAATGAGGATTCTGTGTGTTATGCTGAGAAGCAGGTGCACACTAGTGATGATATTACAGTAGTGCTTAATGAATTGGATAAATGGAGTTTTGATTTGTATGTTTTAGGGCAAGGAAAAGGAAGGAACTCTTTGGTGTTGTCAAGTTTGTTGGAATGGACTGATTGTCCTGAACTTGGGGTCATAGGGGACATGCTTGCATCAAATAGTTTTGGGTCATGCTCTTCTGTGCTTGTTGTGCAGCAATATGGGTTTGGGGGAGCAGAATTATTTAGGATTAATCATAATGCTGCCCCTTCTAACCAAGTGACATCAAATCCTGAGGATCTTGAGTCCTCTTATGTCCAGACTAAGTGACATCAATGTTGGTGATTGGTGAAGTGAGACGAGAGTGACTTTTGGAAATGAAAGAATTAACTCTTAGTTATAAACAAGCCTACAAAGAGGCTCCTGAAGCATTAGCTAAAGCTAGAAAGTTGAAATTCAGGTGCATGGAGAAGGGAGTTCTGGTGCTAGAAATTTCCAAGTTGATCCGTGCAACAGTTAGCTTGTAGAGCAGTGTTCGGATGAGTTGTGTTTCTCGTTGTAAACATAGAAAATTTCTAATACTATGAAATTGATTTTCAACTCATTTCACGTTATATGAATTGTAAATTTTTTTAAAAATGGACGTAAATGAGTTATGATTTAGTTTTCCAATCTTATTTTTAATTAGTGTTTATTTAACTAATAAGATGTGATATATATCCCACAGGTTTAGCATATCATATTATCACGTGTAAATTTTATTCTTTGAAAATATGGATTAAAAGTAAATAGAATAAGATAACAAAATATAATATAATCTCATCATATTATATTTTTATTCGATTTTCATATTTTATATGAATAGTAAAACTTTTAAAAATGGAAGTAAATGAGTTATGATTTATTATCTTATTTTAGTTTTTATTTAACTAACAAGATATGATATATCAATCCTACAGGTCTAGCATTTATATAATTGTTATTTTTTTGTCACCACATTTATACCCATGCAAAATAAAATAATATAAACCCATGCTTACAAGGCCCAACAAGTAACCAAGCTCATACAGATTCGATTTGACTTATATTTGACCCAACATTATCGCTTACATCAGAATCTATTGAAGTTGATTAAATAGTTTTGACCGAAAATTTAGCAGTTGATACAATAGTTACATGACAGAGTAGTCCGTTATGGCGTTTCTCAGTAAGGTACTTTGGAACATAATAATAATAATAATAAGGCAACCGTAAATTTGAATTATTTCATTAGGAAAAAAAACAAAAAACAAAAAAAAAAACTATGACATTCCTCCTTACGTTCATTTGATACTGAACCCTTAAAAGCAAAATCTTCTCAAGTTGTCTGAAGACGCATCTTTTTTTTTTTTTTTTTAATCTTAGGTCCAATCCATAACCTGAAGGCGTTAAATTGTGAGTCTTTGTTATTTATATATTATTCAACTCCTTCATTCATACATAATGTGAGAAATTTTACATTTGTACTTTGTTATTTTAACAATGTTCCCCTTAAGTATGAGCCTCTTTTATTAGGCATATTCCCGCTCCAATGAAAGTCTTCCTAACCATGGATATTTGTGGTGTTGTCAATTATTCTTTTAACTTTGAATCACGGTCAATTTTCATCAACAAGGACATGCTGCTCAACTTTTACATTGTTAAGAAGTCTTTCGATAAAATGATTTCCTTACATGAATTTTCTATAACAGTCTTGAGCTGTTAACCTACAAGAATCATTGGCTTTGGTACCACTAGTTGGGAGCATACAAGGGAGCTAAAACACTTAGAATATCATTTATTCTAAATGGACTGTGAGAAAATCATACAAACAAAATTGCATTTCACATTCAACCCAGAACCTTAAGAAATTAATTTATAAGTTTTTGTCACTTACATTGTTTAACTTTTTTATTGGTATTCAACATAAAAATTTTTGTTCATAATAACAAAAAAAAAAAAAAAAATTAAAAAAAGGAGAAGGGTTGCCATTTGGAGCACCAATTTCCTCCTTACTTTTTTTTCTCTTACTTATCAATATTTTATTTCTTTCATTTTTATCAAAATTTCTTTACACTTGTGAATTAAACTTAAGGTAAGTTTTCTAATGTTTTATTGTTGCTCGTGAGTATTAATATTTTTTTTCAGTATTTCAAGGTTGGTTATCTCTAAAAAATAGTGAGTTAATGTATTTTAAGATTTTGAGTGTGAAATTTAATTTAATTTTCTCTAATTCTGAAGGCTTAGGGTTCATAGTCTTTTAAATCAAAACTCTCATTTATCTATTTAAAATAACTTTGAATCTTATCTCACGTTATGCATACTATTTTTCATAATTCTTATGTCAAATTAATTGTTCAGAATGTGAATTTTCACTTCATTTTAAAATAATCTATATTCAAACTCTACAGTAAAAGTTACATTCCTATTTTAGGTCCAAATTTAAGAAGTTTAAGATAAAATCATCAATGAGGTATCAATGACATCAAATATGAAAAAAATTTGTTGTATCCAATGATTCAAAAGGATTACAAGAAAAACAAATAATTAATAATAGAAAATACAATCATATTTCTTGGCATATGATGTTTTAAGCGACTTAGCAAGAAACATAATGTGCTAGTAATACAAAATGACTACTATATTTCAATCATCTCAAGTTGTCAATTGACATGGCTGGAGGAAGAAAAACGAAGTACTAAGTTGACAGAGAAAAATTTACAAAAAGATATATTCATTCACATTGAAAGAAAATACAATGAGGATAAGCTATTTAAAACTGCTAAAAAAAACAGATTAGCTAACTAAAAGAACTGAATATTAACTGATTAATAAAAAACTAACTAACAGAAATTGTACAAGTTGTAACACCCCCCCTCAAGTTGGAATGTATATATTCAACATTCCAAGCTTGGAAAGACAATGATGAAATGGACCAGGAGTAAGGGGTTTTGTGAGTATGTCTGCTATTTGTTCTTTGGAGGAGATTGGTAGAAGGTGGAGAAGATCATTATGAACTTGATCACGAATAGAGTGACAATCAATTTCTATATGTTTTGTTCTCTCATGAAAAACAGGATTAGCAGCGATGTGTAGAGCAGATTGGTTGTCACAGAACAATGTTACAGGTTTAGAAAGTGGAATGTTGAAATCCTTAAGCAATGAAACTAACCATTGTGCCTCAACAGTAGCCATAGCCATTACCCTGTATTCTGCCTCAGCAGATGACTTGGAAACAATGGGTTGTTTCTTGCATTTCCATGAAATTAGGGAGGAACCAATAAAAAAACAGTAGCCAGTGATAGATCTTCTGGTGTCAAGGCAAGCTCCCCAATCAGAGTCAGTGTAGCAAGTTAGTGTGAGGTTTGAGGAAGAAGGAAAAATTAGACCTTGTGCAGGATTATTTTTGATGTACCTCAGAACTCGAAGGGCTGCTGTGTGATGCAAAAAAGTGGGAGAATCAAGGAATTGACTTAATTTGCTTACAACAAAACTTATGTCAGGCCTTGTATTTGTTAAGTAGATTAACTGGCCCATTAATCTTCTATAACCAGTAACATCAGGGTAAGGAGATCCAGATTTTTGGTGGATCTTGAGAGCATGGTCCATTGGAGTTGAGCAGGGTTTTGAAGCTAGTAAACCAGTGTCTCCTAGGAGTTCAAGGGCATACTTTCTTTGGTATAAACATATGCCTTTAGAGGACCTTGCAACCTCAAGGCCAAGAAAAAATTTGAGAATGCTTAAATCTTTTATTCCAAACCTTTAATGTAGAAGAGTTTTCATCCTTTGAATCTCTGAGATGTTGTTACGAGCTAGAACCAAATCATCTACATATATTAGGATAGTAGTGAAACTTTGATCTGGCCTTTTTGTGAAGAGAGAATAATCTGATTTAGATTGAATATACCCATATTCAATGAGAGTATTAGATAGTTTGAGGTTCCATTGTCTACTGGCTTGTTTCAAGCCATAAAGGGACTTTTTTAGCTTACCTACCAAGTTGGGATCAGGTAAAACAAGACCCTCAGGGGGCTTCATATATACTTCCTCTGTCAAATCTCCATGGAGGAAGGCTGTGTTGACATCAAATTGATGAAGGTGCCATTGGTGTGCAGAAGCAAGAGCCAAAAGAACTCTGATTGTAGACATTTTCACTACTAGGCTGAAAGTGTCTAGATAATCAATTCTTGCAGTTTGTGTGTATCCCTTTGCTACTAGTTTGGCTTTGTGCCTTTCAACAATTCCATCAGCCTTGAGTTTGACCTTAAAAACCCATTTACAACCAATAGTTTTCTTCCTATTCGGCAGTGAAGTCAGAATCCATGTTTGATTCTTATCTAGAGCCAACAGTTCAGCTTAAATAGCCTTCTTCCAACAATCATGAACAACAGCTTCTTTATAGCTGAGGCTCATAAGTGGTAGATAAAGAAAGGGAGTAATGTTTATGAACAGGAGATAAAGCATGATACGAAATAAAATGACATAAGGGATACCTGACAGATTTAGACGATGGTGAAGCAGATGAGGTGAATAATGAGTAATGATAATCCTGCAAATATCTTAGAGTTCTCCTTTCCTTAGAAGAATGCCTTACAAGTTGATCATTATTATTTATATTTCTTGAATGGTTATGTGCTGTGTCAGTTTCAGTTGTGATTGTTATTTTTGAATTTTCAGTAATATGGGGTGGATCAAGATCTAGTGTGTTAATAAGAAGAAGAGGATCGTTGTAAATGGAATTATTTGTAAGAGAAAAAGGTGATAAAATGGATTGAGTAGGAGAGTCTAGTTTCAGAAAGGTGGTTTCATAAAAGGTGACATTTCAGGATAAAAAAATTTCATGAGAAGATAGATGATACAGAATGAATCCTTTGATTCCATTTTTAAATCCTAAGAAAATGCATTTTCTTGATCTGGTGTCCAAGTTTTTTCTATGAGCTGTGAGGGTAGTGGCATAAGCTAAACAACCAAAAACTCTAATGTAAGAAATGTTAGGAATGTGTCCATGTAAGGCTTGATAGGGTAATTGATTTTTAAGAATAAAGGATGGAATTCTGTTGATCAAATGCACATCATGGCAAGCTGCATAGTTCCAAAAAGATCTAGGAAGTCTAGATTGAAATATTAAAGACCTAATGATGGCTAAAATGTGTTGATGTTTTCAACCTACTAACTCATTTTGCTGGGGTGTCTCAACACAAGAATTTTGGTGAATGATGCCTTTTTGAAGCATATAAATCTGTTAAATTAAATTCCATACCATTGTCAGTTCTAATTATTTTTATTTTCTTGTTGAATTGTGTATGAATTAA